ATTAGCTTGCCTTATCTGTCTCTCTATATAGAAAGTAATTGCCAATTATGTTAATTAAATTTTAATTTGGGTACACAAGGCACTGACTGGTGAACTTGGATACCATGTATATACACATTGATTTCTTTTAAAAGGGGAACATGTATATACGTTTAGTCGTATTTGTGGTCTTTAAACTTGGGACACTTTGAGCTTGGCTGGGAGGCAAGTTATAAGTAAAGAAGTTAGGTAATTTGGCTTTAAAGTTTTAATCATTCCAAGATGTAGTATTGATGTTTACGATAGTTGATCCTTGGGTTAATTTGGGTTGCGTTAATGTGTATGATATTCTATACTAATCTTGTTATGAGAATGAAAAAAAAATGTTTGATAATATTTGTGATCACTTACTACAAAGGTTTGACATTGTCTTTTCCAGCAAAGTTATGCTATTAAAACATGATAGGATACTTCGTGTTGGCATATAAATTACATAGTGATTTGAGTTGCATTTGTGTCTGTCACTTGATATACTGCCAAAGCTATGGGGGTTTTATTTATATCTTTAGAAAAAAAAGTATTTCGGTAATGGATACGGTTCATAAATATCGTAGTTTGCTTTAGGCACGTAATTAATTTACTATAACTATGGGTATGGCTCCCATGGCATGGTTGTGATAATCTTAAACTAGTTTTAAATATGAATATCCATAGTTCACCTAGTTGAGTGTTTTTCCTCTAATAAAAATTGAGGTGTGCCACGTCAAATAAAATCTCAAATGCATGGCCCTCGGATAATTAACTTCGACTCTTTAGAAATCAAGGCGTGTCGTTTAGCAAACTCCTTGGCCCTCGCAAAGTTGCAACGCAAAAAGCTTTAAGCGCGTATTTTAATAATTTTACCTTCCTAAAATTCGGGTGCGCATTTATGTGATCCAAATTCAAATCCCCACGAAGTTGAAATATGTCAAAGACCGCAGGTACATTGATTGTGACGTGGTTCGAGATGCATTTCCACGATGTTGCAAATTTCATTTAAAAATAATGAATGAGACGAGCCTCGACAAACAAAAATACACAAGCTGCGGGGCCCTCTATATGTGTTGGTAAAAATACTTAGATTTCGGGATAGGCCGTTTAGCGAGTTTCACGACCATTTCCCAAAATAACAACGCGTTAGTCTCTTTAGGCGCGTACTTTAAATAATATTACCTTTTTAAACCCTGGTGCACATTTATGTGACCCAAATACAAATCTCAACGAAGTCGAAATGTGTCTATAATCACAGGTGCATTGATGTGATGTGGTTTGAGATACGTTTTTACAGCGTTGCAATTCTCTGTTAAAAAATAATGCTGATAATAATAAAAGCGGTTAAAAGTTAAAATTTTCACATAGGTTCATAATTGTATAAAAATTAGATAATTAAGCCGAATATGATAGTTGAGCGACCGTGCTAGAACCACGGAATTCGGGAATGCCTAACACCTTCTCCCGGGTTAATAGAATTCCTTATCCGGATTTCTGGTTCGCGGATTGTTAAACAGAGTCAATCTTTTCCTCGATTCGAGATTCAACCGGTGACTTGGGACACCATAAATTTCCCAAGTGGCGACTCTGAATTAAATAATATATCTCATTTCAATTGTCCTTTAATTGAAAAAAACCCCCCCTACGCCCCTGCGGGTGCAGGTGAAAAAGGAGGTGTGACAGGAGCTAACAAATATTTTGTAATTTTATTAATGATGCTTCACGAAAATTATGGGTTTATAGCTTAAAAACCAACTATAGGTGTTTTAAGTTTACTAGAAGTTTCATGTTCTAATAGAAAGAGAGAAAGGTTGAAAGCCATGAAAAGATAGTTCTTGGAACCCCACAACACAATAGTATAGCTGAGAGAATGAACCACACCATTGTTGAGAAGGTGAGAAGCATGCTCAGAATAGCTAAACTGCCTAAGTCATTCGGGGGTGAAGCAGTTTAGACAGCCTGTTAACTTATCAATAGGAGTCCATCAGTTCCATTAGAGTTTGACATCTGAGAGAGAGTTTGGACCCACAAGGAGGTATCCTACTTACATATAAAGGTGCTCGGTTGCAGAGCTTTTGCACATGTACCAATGGAGCAGAAAACAAATGTAGATGATAAATATGTTCCCTACATATTCATCGGATATGGAGATGAAGAGTTCGGGTACAAATTATGAGATTCTATGAAGAAGAAGTTCATCAGAAGTAGAGATGTAATCTTTCAAGAAAGTGAAGTTGGAACTGCAGATGATCAGTCAGAGAAGGCCAAAAAAGGTATAATCCCTAACCTTGTTACCATTCCTTCTACTTCTCACAATCCCACAAGTGCATAAAGTAGAAGCGACGAGGTTGTCGAGCAGTGGGAGTAACCTGATGATTTTATTGAGCAGGGGGAGCAACTTGATGATGACGTCGAGCAAGTGGAGTACCCCAATTAGGGCGAAGAACAGCCTCAGCCTCTGAGGAGATCAGAAAGTCAAGGGTAGAGTCATGCAAGCACCCTTTCACAAAGTATGTCCTCATCGGTAATTAGGGAGAGCCAGAAAGTATAAAGGAGTGTTGTCCCATCTAGAAATGAATCAGGGGATGAAATCCATGCAAGAAGAGATGGAATCTCTGCAAAATATGGCACGTACAAATTGGTTGAACTTTCAAAGGGTAAAAGACCACTCAAATACAAATGGATCTTTAAACTCAAGAAATATGGAAAATGGCAAGCTGGTTAGATACAAAGCTCGATTAGTGGTAAAAGGTTTCGAATAGAAGAAATGTATTGATTTTGACAAAAATTTCTCACTTGTTGTCAAAATGACTTCTATTCGAACAATTTTGAGCTTGGCGGCTTGCCTAGATTGTGAAGTGGAGCAGTTGGACATGAAAACTACATTTTTGCATAGGGTTTGTAATAAGAGGTCTATATGGAGCAACCAGAAGGTTTTGAAGTAAAGGAGAAGAAACACATGATGTGCAAGTTGAAAAAGAGTTTTTTTGGGTTAAAGCAGATACCAAGGCAGTGGTACAAAAAGTTTGACGCATTCATGAAAAGTCAAACTTACATGAAGACCTATTCCGATCTATGTGTATACTTCAAAAAATTTTCTAACAACGACTATATTATTTTGTTGTTGTATGTTGATGATATGTTAATTGTAGGAAATGACAATGAGCTGATTGTAGAGTTGAATGGAGATTTATCCAAGTCATTTGATATGAAAGTTTGGACCCAACACAATAAATTCTGGGGATGAAGATAGTTCGAGAGCGAACAAGCAGAAAGTTGTGGTTGTCTCAAGAGAAGTACATTGAACGTGTACTGAAATGCTTCAACATAAAGAGTGCTAAGACAATCAAACACCTTTTTCTAGTCATTTGAAGTTCAGCAATAATATGTATCCTATAACAAATGAGAAAAAAGAGCATGATAACTCTTATTCCACAGCAGTCGAAAGCTCGATGTATGCAATGGTATGTACTAAACCTGATATAACTCATGCAGTTGGTGTTGTTAGCGGGATTCTTGAAAATCCTAGGAAAGAACACTAGAAAGCTGTCAAGTGGATACTCAGGTACCTGAGAGGTGCCGTAGGCGACTATTTGTGTTTTGGAGGATCTGATCCAGTCTTAAAGGGCTATGTAGATGTTGATATAGCAGGTGACATTGATAATAGAAAATTTACTACTGGATATTTGTTTACATTTTCAGGGGAAGCTATATCATGGCAATCGAGGTTGCAAAAGTGTGTCGCACTCTTTATAACTAAAGTGGAGTACATTGGCGCTACTGAAGCTGGCAAGGAGATGATATGTCTTAAACGGTTTCTTCAAGAGCTTGAATTACATCAAAAGGAGTATGTCGTCTATTGTGATAGTCAAAGTCCAATATATTTGAGCAAGAACTCCATGTACCATGCAAGAACAAAGCATATCGATGTGAGATATTATTGGATTCGTGAGCAGGTGGAGAACGAATCTTTGCAGGTCAAAAAGATTCACACGAGTGAAAATCCTGAGGATATATTGACCAAAACGATACCAAGAGACAAGTTCGATTTATGCAAAGAACTTGTCAGAATGAGCTTTATACGAGAAATTGGAAATTCCTCCTTCAGGTAAATGGGATTGGAGGAGGAGATTTGTGGGGTCCAGCCCCATATCTTATGTATGAAAGTTTGAAGGAAAGAGAATTATTTCTTTTGAGTGTGTAGTGGGTTTAGAGTATTTTACTCGGTACCATAAATTATAAAATCTTTGCTATAGTGAAATCAGTTGCTCCTTTCGGGCCGTGATTTTTCTCTTATTCAGAAGGGTTCTCCATGTAAAAATCGTGATGTCCTTTTTTCTCTTATTATTATCGTTAGTTATTGTATTTTGTAATCCGCAGTAATTACAGTTATATACCGTGAATATTATTTCTATGGGAATTATTTTTCAACACGTTGAAGAACAAGCGCGGTAGAAGAAGCTGACAGAGTAAGAGGAGGAGGAGGAGAGTGGTAGGGTAATAAGGTTATTTTTGTCTATAAGATTAAAGGAGCCTATTTTTGTCCAACTTTTAAAAAAGGAGACAAAAATCTAATATCAGCCCCTCAAAGGGACACGGGACAGATTTTAAATCAAATCAATCAATTATAAATTATTATAAGAAGAAATAAATTATACCAAAACTACCAATATATAATAATCGGTTTGACGTGTCGATATACAAAGAAATGTCGTAATTTCTTTAAGTTATTTTTTTTTCTTTCATTTTTTCTATCATAATTCAATTAATTAAACCACTCACATATCTCTAGAAAACTTAGTCTACTTTGGGAAACATTAGACTTTGGATTGTGAAAAATTCTAATCTTGAGTAAAATTCTATCTAAATGTCTCGGAGGAAAAGCTCTTTAACAGATACCTCATGAAATAAGACTATGTATTCTTCTAAAACCCTAATAAATTTTCTCTTCTTTTTTCAATCGGCCACACCCAAATAGTTCCAGTTAATCGATGTCGTCTGCTCGCAATAAGCGCCAACGGAATCATGTCATTGTTGATAGAATCAGCGACTTGCCTGACTTAATTTTGTGTCACATTCTCTCTTTTCTTCCAACTCAATATGCTGTGTGGATAAGTTTACTATCACAAAGATGGAAAAATCTATGGACCCATGTCGACACTTTGTACTTCGATTGCTTTAATAAAAAGTGGAGAAAACGTAACTTTACCCGATTTGTTAATAGGGTTTTGATGTACCGCAACGCGTTGTTTCTGAACAAGTTGAAAAAGTTCTCCCTTTTGTGGACCAAAATTTGTGACAAGGATGATATTCATGCATGGGTACGTTGGGCTATTGCTAACGGAGTTGAAGATTTTAATTTGCAAAAAAATTGGTGAAACTAGTCGCCCAGTGAATTTGCCTATTAGCTTATACTCCTGCAAAACGCTACAAGTTCTTGAATTGCGAGGCCAAATACTCATCAATTGTCCAGAAAATATTTGTCTTCCAAAATAAAAAAACTCTTAGTCTAATTACAGTTCATTATGAAGGCGGCGAACATGATGTTGATAAGCTTATATCTAGTTGTCCCATGTTGCAATCTCTTTATGTTGAAAGGAAGGGGTATGATAATGTGTCTAAGTTTGTTATAAGCTCTCATGTGTTGAAAAATCTCAAGGTTAAAATTTATGATGATGGATCCTTTAGTGAGTTGTGTTTGGTGATAAATACACCTAAACTTGAGAATATAAATTTGATGGATGATGTTTCTGAGACATATTTTATAGTGGATGCATGTATCATCCTTAGTTGGAGCAAATGTGAATCTTAAAATTCCAATGCGACTCTCAGATGAAAAGAAAGAGCAAAGAGTCAACTCTTTTGCCAGATTGATGCAAGCGCTTCACAAAGTTGAGAATTTACAGATCGACGTTCCTACTCCCGCGGTACGCCGCACTACATTCTCTGTCGCTTTATTCCTATCTACTATGCTGTTAGCTATTATTATCGGTGATCATTTTTTACTGTTGGTATCCTCTGATTGTGTTTGTTTTAGCTTCTTTGCATAATGATCCATGAACATTTTTTGTTGCACGTGCTACAATTAGATCACAGTTTTTACGGAGGTATGAAGTGTTATAATTGATTAATCTTCCTCTTGGTAACCTTCAACTAAGTGCACCATTCGACCTTCAACCAAGTGCACCATTCGACCTTCAACCAAGTGCCCAATTCAACCTTCTTGGAGCATGTATGCTAATAGTTAATATTTTACCAATTTTTACAAACATGTACATACAATATCTAATTTTGCCGAGAGATCATGAGTTCACGTACCGTAAATTTCCTTTATAAATCCGCCCCGTTGTAGATGCACCAATCCGTAGGTGTAAAATTATGATGGGAGAGGTGTTAAAAGAGGATGGGTAGAGTAAAATCACATGAAAGTAAGTTGTTTCGAAAGACCGACAAATCCTTGGAATCAATGCAGAGTAAACTAAAAATAAGATGCAATGGAAGAAAAATTCTAGTGGAGAAAATGTTTTATACTTGATAGAAATTTTTTATTATATGTATATATTTTGGTAATGTTGCTGAGATGAGTTGAATTAAATGAAAAAGAATGAAATTCATGAAGTGAACTTGTTCGGGAATGAGGAGTATATTGGTATTGTTATTGATATTTGTAAAGAGAGATATTACATTGGTGAAATAAGTAAATGGCCCCTTAAATTCGTTACGAATTGCCAAGTAGACACCATAACTATGGTAGCGAACAATTTGAACACCTCTGTATGTATCTCTGAGACCAATCTCTTATATTTTCTTCTCCACCCATGAACCATCCATCTCCCAAAGGCACTTTCTCTTTTCTTCCCCGCTTAAGAGATTTAACAACTCAAAGGACAGTAGTATATCATTTCATTTGTTGAGTGTCCTCCATTTGCTTTGCTACATGTGCTATCTAATTAAGGTCAACTTCAAAAAATTGGTACAACTGAGTCCTGACTGCAAGTTTGTGACTGATCAAATATAATTGTGCTGCTATTTTCACATTGATCTTGGAAGCAATGGAAATATCTCAAAATCCAAAACCTTGGCACAATGTTAGTGATAAGAGGGTTCCCATGTGATATATTCTTTTTAGGGTTAAAATAGAATGATATTTTGCTCTAGGAGGTTTTAATTTTTTCCTCAATATTCTGCAGATATTTTTCTTGACGGGTGGCCGATGGAATTGGAAGGAGTAGAGTGAAGAGGAGGGTGCAAATTAAGGGTTTCACGCACTCTGCAGGTTAAGTGTGGAGATACATATTTCGAAATGTTTCTGCCAAAGAGAAGTACTGTCTATTTGGTCGTTGGTATAGTTAAGAATGTGTCTAGCAGTTGATAATTTTAAGGGCCAACCTTTGTATTTTGCCTATTACATATTTGATTGCACTATGATAGCATTTTTTTTTGGGTAAGTAGGATGACAGTATGTTATATAGTATGAGTTGTATGAAGGTTTCAAGATAGGGTAGCAACTTTCTGCTTCTAACTGCTGAATGTGTTACATGCTCCTGTACATACAGTGTTTAAGCTTATAATACTTATCAAATAGTTGTAGCGCTTGTTTTTACTAAAATATAGAAATAGGAGTTGAAGTGTACCAACATTGGAACGAACACTGGCAAAATGGATGTTTGTCATGGGCATTGTTTCATTCTGCTCTTCAAAATCAGCAATTTTCATGACACGTGTTGGTTTTTGTATTTTTGTCTCCCACTTTCATTGATCCCATTTTTCCACTTCAATATCAGTCATTTCGCTGCTTTCCTCCTTCGAAAAATGCACACTTTTTCTTCTCTGGTTTTTCCTCTTCTTGATTTTGTAGGCATATAAAATTTATTGAATTCAAATTCAATAAATAATTTGAATTATATTTTAAATATATTAGTCCAAATAAATATTATGAGCTAATATAATTGAATTAATTATATAAGTCCAATATATATGGATTAAATAAATAAGTCTTAAT